GTTGCCATACAGCCGAGAGCTAAACCTACTGGTGATCTTCCCGCTGCACTCCGAAAGGGTAAATGATCTTGTTCTAGGTATTTTATTGCACAATATGTCGCTTACTCTTCATTATCTCCGTCATATCATTCTTTTATATTTTCTCTAAAACCTCACTTGGTTCCTAAGAATGTGTCAGATGTCCTATTTATCCTACATTGGATGGCATCATTGCAAGAGGAGATGACAACATTAGAGGAAAATGAGACTTGAGATCTTGTTCCTTTACCACTCGGGAAGAAAGTTGTTGGTTTCAAGTGAGTTTATATAGTCAAGGTGAATCCCAATGGCTCTCTAACTTGTCTCAAAGCTCAACTACTTGTGAAGGTATATTGACAGATATGTGGGTTGGATTATGTTGACACATTCTCTCCTATAGTAAAAAATGACTTATATCTGCATTCATATTTCTTTTGCGCTTGCTATCATTAGCCACTACATCAACTAAACATTAGCAGTTTCGTTTCATGTAATGAATTATTTGATCTTTTTTTTATATAAATCCAACATTAAGAACGCATTCCTTAATAAAATTCTTGAAGAGGTGGTTTTCATGGAGCAACCACAAGGATTTGTTGCTTAGGAAAAGTATAGGAAGATCTGCAGGTTGAAGAAATCCCTTTATGGCTTGAAACAATCCCCGAGGGTCTAGTTCAAATGATTTGCAGCAGCACTTTAGAAGTTAGGTCTTCAGCAAGTTCAAAAAGATCATTTAATCTTTTGGAGACTCTATGATGCAAACGAATACTTCTCATAGTATATGTTGATGACATTGTGATTACTAGAGATGATGCACATGGCATATGTCATTTGAAGGGTATATACAATAGCAGTTTCAGACCAGGATCTTGGATCCTTGAAATATTTTCAAGGTATCGAGGTGGCTAGATCAAAGAATAGAATTCTCTCTAGATCAAAGAATAGAATTCTCTTATCTCAGAGAAAATATGTGCTTGATATGTTATTAGGCGCCAGGATGTCAGAATATAAGGGCATTGACTGACTGATGGATGACAAGATCAAACTATTACTAGATCAGGAAGAGTAATTAGAAGATGTTGAGAAATATAGACGACATGTAAGAAAACTAAACTATGTGACAAATACTAGACCAACTATTGCATTTTTTGTCTATGTAGTTAGTCAGTTTCTCTTGGCACCCAGGATATCCCATATGGAGGCTATGAAAAGGATTCTTATGTGCTTAAGAAAATTCTAGGCAAGAGAATTCTCTGTTCTGATAGTGGACACACAAGAGTTGTAGGATTCTCGAATGCAGATTAGGCTGGATCTCCACCAAACAGACAATTGACCATTGGGTATTGTGTATTTCTTTAATGAAATCTTGTTTCTTGAAGAAGTAAAGAGTAGAGTCTAGTCTCTCATTTTACAACTGTGTTCGAGTATCAAACCATGTTAAATCTAAGTTGTGAGCCGCTTTGGGTTAGAGATATATTGACATATATTGGTCTTCCTCTTGAGTGTGTCATGAGCTTGTATGGAGTTAACTACCATTTACATAGCTGAGAATGGAGTATTCCATGAGAATACAAAACATGTAGAGATCCATTCTTATTTGTTTTTGTGAGAAGATGGAGAAGGAAATTATCATATCCAAGCACATACCATCAAAGCATCAGCTTGCAGATATTCTTATGAGAACATGATTGAATTTTATCCGTGACAAGCTAGACATATATGATATATACGCTCAGCTTGAGGAAAGTGTTGAGAGTATTATGTTGTTTGGTCCCACAAATGTTAGGGACAAACTCTTTTTAAGTCTCAACCTATTAATAATACCCTAATAGAAGAGGGCTAATCACCTCTCTCTAATTACATTTCTACACAAAGCATGCATTCATTCTATGGGTGGCTGCTCAACAAAGACTCAGTCATTAAAGTGAGGTTTTGCAGATTTGATCTAACTATTGATAGTATGTGTGTGCTATGTGGAACTGCAAGGGAGGATCATAATCATCTATTTTTCTAGTATGCATTTTCTTGTGATGTGTGAAATGCTATCATGCAATGGGTGAGTTTCAAATTTAGGAGCTGTGATTAGAATATTATGTTCCATTGGTATACTGTCAACTTGAGAGGTAAGAGCTTACGAAAAATGTAAAGAAAGCTATATTGGTAGCAGCTGTGTGTGGCATTTGAATAGAGCGTAATAGAAGAGCTCATGGATTGAATAGGAGGAGTATAAATGTAGTTGTGAAGCTTATCAAGACCCAGATCTTAACTGGAGTTCTTCATGTGAAAATTCCAGCTGCTATGCAGGCTTAGGTGGACTCATTGTGTTAATATGTTAACAGGTTGTATGTAGTATATGGGGAGTCATTTTAGTGTCAATTTTGATTTGTTTTGAGGGATTTGTATCCGCAAGAAATACATTTTGCTATAAACATGCATCTATCTTTTCACTTGGTAATGAAAATATATTGTTCACTGACCAAAAAAAGGAAAAAGAAAAAAAAATGAAAAAAAGAATACCTAGACTATCTGCCATCAGCTGATATTTAGACATAGGAAAAGGGGGAAAATGTATATTTCGTTGAATTTACGTGGAAGTGAAGTTGCGTTCTTCATTTTTACCTGTTTCGGCTTGCTCTAGTTCTGAGACTCACTAATCACAACTCTGGCTTCTTCCAAACTACAAATTTGTCAAGTTGAAGAATCCATCCAATGTTTTACAAAATTTTCACAAAAAAGCTATGGGTTGATTCATACATTCTCCAATAGAATTCATCATGCGTATCTTACTACTATATGACGAATATATTAAGGGTAGTGAAGTTGGATGAGTGGTGGACATTTTTCTCATTTATATTGTAATTGCAGGGTAAAATGGTAAGTTTAAAAGGGAGATATTTTTTCCCCTTTTCTTTCTTTCCTTTCTTATTTCTAGAAGATTCAAAATAATGACATGAGAATGGGAACTCACATAATTAAAATTGTTGTTTTCTAAGATAAACACTTACTTCTATCTTGTGTCTTATCCTTTCTAATTCTAGGACATTCTAAATCATCAAATGACAATACACACATAATTTATCACACGTGCATATGCACGTGCAAGAGGAGCAAATCTTTTTAAAATAAATTTGTTTATCTAAAAAATGCATTGTAGATTCGACTAGAAACGTGATATCTTAAGCCAAAGGAAACTATTTCTTTATGTTATATAGAAAGATAAGGTTTTTAGCATCTATTACTATTGTTTGTATATGTTTTATTCTTTTGTCCAAAATAAAATGCAGTGTGTAATGCACAAAACTTATA